GAACCACCGCTCTGAGTTTCAGATCAGTGCCCCTATTCACTCTTTTGCTTAACAGCCTGGTCCAATAGTATCTTCCTCAGTGCTTATTTTAGTGATGAGTCCTCAGCCAGCCCTAGTCGGATCAAGATGTCCATAGGTCAGTGTTTCAGCAGGCTTTTTTAGCTCTGCAGCCTAAGCTTATTTTTCCTGAGTGTTGCATCTCGGTCACCCCTGATAACTGCCGTTCCAAAAATTCACCTCAGGGTTTTGTTCGTTTTATCGGCGGATGCTGAAAGATAGAATTCTGCATTCCTTGCTAACTCTCTGCAAATTTCTGCAGGGGTAGGGACACTAGTGTGAGAAATACTCAGAAAAGTGTTCTGAACAGTACCTCGATCTTTTATAGTGCATTCTCTGCAGCCTTGTAAAATAATGTTATGGAAATGACATATTCTCATCCCAACTCATCCAAACCTAAGTTTCTTCTGCTCATGGAGAGAAGAATGCTTATTCTGCTGATGAACTGTAATTTATTTCAGGAACCCTTTAATATTTCCATGTCTGACCTTTTGCTTTCGTAAGAGCCCAGCCCATGTACTGCTTTCATGTAAGAGGTACTAAAAGGTAATATAATAGATTTGGGGGAGTGTTTTTCATTTTAAAGCATCAGTGGCTCCTCTCCAAAGACTACCAACATGAGAGATGGAAGATGGCAACAACAGCTGTTTAACATGCAGATAGACTTAGCTGTTTTTCCTGGATTTTCCTAGGGAGTAAAAGATGAAACAGTAGAGAATTTTTTAAGTAAGTTGGGGAAAATTTAATTCAGCCATTAGTTCAGTTGATTCATAAGGATTTTAATGAAGATTCCATAAGTATTCCTGGAGCTTTAAATGACTATTAGGATAAATAATCTAATGGAATTAAAAATAATCTGCCTGGAAATAAGGAAAAATAGGAAATTTATTTCATTTCATCACATTTCTAAAATCATAAAATTGTCTGAGAGAATTTAACCAGACCACTAGATTTAAAACACATATATGGTACCATATGCAGTACCATGTAACTGTCCTGTATACAGCATCATAGAGCTTTAAGTGTTCATGAGAGGTGTCCATTTTGTTTGTCTCTGTATTTTTATACTATGTACAGGCAATGGCTGTCCTTATCAAAAAGAGCAGCAAATCTCAGTTTAGCTTCCTTTCACACCTGAAATTTTCCTAGCAGTTTCCTCTACGAGTTGTGACCTAGCCCAAGATTGCTCAATTTATAAATTGACTTTAATCAGAGTGGAGCCCATGGCGATGTGAAAGCTGATGATTCACTGAGTTAAAAAGGCTTTAAAGTAGTAAAGGCTGATTTTGAAATTGGTTGGCTCATACCTGGATTTCAGGTCCAGCCCTTTCACATACAAGGAGTTGACATGTTCTTTCCAGAATAGGTGAATGTATGCAGATTTGGATTCCATTATAGACTGAACCTTTGAATGAATAGAAATTCATTCATGCGCAGAAGGGAATTCCAGTCCTTTCTCTGATATCAAGTTTCTTTAGCAGGATCCTTTTCACTATGTGTGCTTATGAGCTATAGTGTACATGAAATGGATTCATCTGATCTATAGTCACTATATCACACAGTTTTCAGATAATCATGGGATTCTTTTAGATCTTATCTACACAAGAGACATTCTTTAAAGTTAAAGCAAGTCAATCTGCTCATATTGAAGCTGGTTAAGCCCCTGTATGGATGTTCTTATTCAGAAATAAAAAGGATCTAAATTTAATATGGTACCACTAACAGGATTCATAAATCTTTACTTTGGAGCCTTCTATGGAGTAGCCACATTCAAGATAATCTTAACTTTTTCATTCAGTTTACATTTATTTACATTATTTGGCATGGTGGTTCTAATATGATAGAATATCTCTTGCAGTCTCACTGTGATCAGGTTTTTAGGGAGATTTATCATTTTGGGTTAAATATTACTCCGCAGCCTTCATTACTTCCCATGGGGTCATTATAAAATGTTGGAGAAGCACATGAGACTGAACCAGTTCTGACCTAGCAGAAACAGGTAAAGTCAAAGAAATTTGGTTTGGTCATCAAACCTGATTCTAACCTACTCTGTTTTAAATTAAATTAATTACGATATCAATTTTACAAATAACCAAATAAACTGTTATTATGTCACTAATAAAAAAAATAGGGTTAGGAATGGGAATTAAATTACTACAAGTAAATACAGAGTATTAATCAATGCTGACATTTGCACAGGAAAATGCAGAGGAACTGTCAAAATCATAAGTACATCTTACCCTAACAGAGGTCTGAAATTGTATGGAAAAAGGTTTACACTCAGAAGATATACAAGTCCAAAAGTTTGTGTAAGTGGTCAAGTCACATATGCAGCTTTTATGAGCCTGGATGATACATTCATCCTGCCCTACCTGCTGTATCACTTTTTAAGACTCAGCTTTCTGATTTTAATTGAAGTTCACAGATGCAGGAAAATGCAGAGCTGAAATAAGCCCTTTATTCAAAATATTCTGTGTTTATATATACTCTGTATTTGGCTAAAAGTCCGAGCACAAACCCTTTAGAAGCAGAATTTATGCAAAAATCTTTTTTTCATTGCTTGCTTTGCATGCCGGAATGCTAGAAGGCCTTTCATTGTCTAATATATATAAAGATACTTGTAACATTGAATAGACTTGCTTAATTTCTTGGATTTAAGTTATTTGTGCATAAAATTCATAACTTGGGTCCAGAATTCAAAGTTCAAACAAAAGGCCTACATTAGCACTGTACTGAATAAATGTATATTCCGTTGATTCTCCTGGGAACTGTGGGTTGTTTGTGAACTTAGAAGCCTAGTTTACCTATTCAGGTTTTAAAATTTCGAACAAAACATTTTACCCGTAAGCATAAAGCCAGTTTCAGAGCATGAAATTGCACTCCTGACTCTCAGTTTTTTTGTTTTAACCATTTACTCCTTCTTTATCAGACCTTTAACAATATCTGAACACAGGCTTTGATTGTGTGGACTGGGATTATTGTCAAACGTAATTAAAAAAACATGGTTTTCCCGAGGGCATAGCAGGTAAGACTTTCCTGAGATCACAGACATACTCCTTGTTTGTCTGTACTCCTCTGCTTTTATTTAATGCCTGATTATCTGTCTTCCTACCTATTTCAGGCATTTTTTTTTTGTGCAGCGTGAAGTATAATTTCTCACAGGACTCTGACCAAGTAGCCTAAAATTCACAGTAGCCTAAAAAAAACCCTCCAACAACACTGTTTTCATTCTCTGGACTGCAAAAGCCATCGAATACTAACCTTCTCACTATCTCAAGTCTAAATTCAGTTCAAATTTCCAGCCAGATTTGTTCAGCCTCTTTCCTTGCTAATGTACTTTATGCCCCTCTAGAGATGATGTGAGAGAAATTTGGCAGTAATTAGTTGCAGAGACGGATCAAGCAGTCAGTCAGTAGGTGCTCATGTTAAACTGCACATCTTTCTTTCTTGCCAGATTGTTGGCTGTGACCGCCAGCTGGGAAGCACTGTCAAGGAAGATAACTGTGGAGTCTGCAATGGCGATGGGTCCACCTGCCGGCTCGTTCGAGGCCAGTATAAGTCCCAGCTCTCAGCAAATAAACGTAAGCTGTCCATTTTCCACCCTAGAGAGGGTAGCAGTCCTAACTGACAGAGATTATGATATCACAGGGCCATTGGTGAGTAAAGTGCCATATACCCCTCTTAGTGCAATTACATTTCTTGTCAGGTAGACTTCTCCTCGCTCTTTCTCACACAGGCAGTTGAATGAGCACAGTTAAGTGAATCCTCCCATTGTTTCTCCCCTCTTAGGTTAAATCAGGTTTGCACAGGTTATGGGCAGACAGAGGAATGCAGAGAATTGCCACTCAGTATATTCCCCCAGTCCGAGCTAGCTGGCCATTTAGGAAGAGCTGTGGGATAAGAAGAGCATTGGCTCTACCTATGCTGTTCAGGCCAGGTTAGACAGCTAGGCGTATGATCCATTCCATGCTGCACTGACAATAGAGTGGTTCATGCTGCCCCCAGAACACGGAGGAGCAATCAGAGGGAACTTTGGCCCTGTCCTGGCACAGCACTCCGCCCCAGAGCTGTGCCTGCAGTGGCACTCAGTGCACAGCTGCTTGCACTCTCCGGTGGGAGACTCAGTTCTGACCTCCAGGACATTCTTACGTGGTAACTACAGACAGATGTCGACTTTCTGGCATAGACCCTGAGCCAGCCTTAAGCAAGCGTCAACTTCAGAGCTGTATCGTAACATCATTGTGGCGCAGTGACCGGGTTAGTTTATTCTAACTCCTAGGTAGACTTGTTAGTTGGGTGGCAGTACCATGAGTGGAGCTGTGACAGTTTTGGAATTAAAGATAGGGCATGTCTGGCCAGTCTGAAGGATGGGCAAAGTTTGTTGGTCCTTACACCTGTGTAGACATACGTAAGGAACCATGCATGTTACCCTACAAACCTGCCCCCAGCTCTACTCAGTTGCAGTAGAATTTAATCATACAAGATTTACAATTTTTGAGCATTTTTTCAAAGCCAAATGGTACATGACCTAAAAGTTTCTAATGTCAGTGTAGTATCCGCTAAGTAGTGTGTGTGTACGCTTGTGGATTCATATATAGACAACATTCAGTTTCTGCAAGGAGCAGATACACGCTTTTTACAGAGTCCTCTCTCTCTTGTCAAAGAGGAGGAAGGAAAATACTCTTCTGTAGGGAAGAAGGAAAAAAATAATCTTTATATGAGTTTCACTACTGAGGCAGACCAGCATGTTAGAGAGCACAGGAAATGGTTCACAAAGATTGGGAATGGCTGCTTAAGACTTGATATTTGTGAACTATTTTGGCAAATGTCTTTTCCTGTAGGAATAGTTTATTGTTTTTCAGTTCTGTTCTGGTAAAATGTTGTTCCTCTCTTTTCCCCTGAGGATCAGGGCACTAATATGATAGGCACACTAATATGCTACTAAGATACAGTTCCTACTCCCAGTGGTTTGCTATTAAATATAGAATAAAGAGTATAGGCAGAGGAGCAGATGGCAGAAAGCGTAGTCTTAGAGAGAGACAAATGTGAAAAGAATGTTAGAGAACAAATTATTTAGACACATTTGCTTGCAAATAATTGTTTTACGGAACCGACGATGATAATCAAATTTTATAAGCACTCTTTATAAGCCATTTGATATTATTTCTTTCTCCAGCTTTAGAAATACATTTTGTTATGCAACACAGGTATGAATTTTGAATATAACAAAAATGTATGCCTCTTCAAACTGATTTTTCACAAATGTAATGCCGTAATTGCTTCAGATTCACATGTGATTTAGTATACTTCATGAGTGTTCACTCCCAAAAATATGTACTATCTGTGAAAAGGAGAAGGATGAAAGTTCTGAAGAGCTTTGAAACATCTACCCTCTGCTTATTTTCTCCCTTATCCTCCTCAGCACTATTGAAATATCTGTCATATTGGCCTTGTGGTTTGTCTCTTAGCGTCTTGCTTATTTGCCACTGTGAGCGCAGATACGTAAACATTTCTGTGATCGGGAGCCTGATTTAGTTCCTCAGATGGCTGTATTACATTTGACTAGTCAATATCTTAATTCCAGATGATCTCTTTAAAAGAATTCCTTTTTGTCAATAATGATATCTAATTCTTCCTCAGTGTGAAGAAGATATTAAGAGCGTATGTGAGCTATACTGCTATGTGACATAAGAAAAATCGGAAGGAACATACGCAGTGACCTGTCATCAGCAGAGTTTTTCTGTGGGCCTGGGATTCTTATTTCCCTAACATAGCAGAGCATTCAATTTTTAGGACTCTGCTAGGGGAACCAGGCAGTCATCTTTATTGCAGTGTTGTCCCAAAACCGTCTAGAAGTTGTTTATTATCTCAAAACCAGCCCAAACATAGTGTTGAGCTCATGATATTGAATTCGTTTTCTTTTAGTGTTCATACCCAGTTCCCTTCTCCTTGCTGTTTATACCATGCAGAGGTGTAGGAGAAGGATAGTACTAGAAAGAAATTCGTGGAGCTTTTAAACAGTTAGCGCTTGCCGCAGAAACTACTTCCTCAGTATTTATAGGGATAGTATACATCCCCCAGAGAGAGGCCTCTGAAATGAAAGCACAGCAGGACAGGAGGCAGTGTGTCCTTGAATTCTCTCCTGTGTTTTATGAAAAAGGAAGCACCTGTGTCTATGCTCTGTTTTTCTATTAAAAATTTGAAAGAATGGTACAGAAGACTTCTTTCGTTCCAGAAATATCCTTTGCTCTTAGTCCTGAGCTTAGGTAGGTCAGACTTTAGGTAGGTCAGACTTTCTGACTTTGCATGAAGTGATTTTTTTTTAATCATATCTCTGTTTGGAAAGAGTATAGATGGACTGAACAGATGAATTCAAGCTAGCTTCTTTGTCTTCACCAAGTACTTAGAGAACTGCTCCCTTAAAGTGGTGAAAGAATTCTGCTGGCCACCTTATGCAAAGTTAAGGCTGCTGGTATTTCTCTAAAAGGGAAGAAGACCTCTACTAGTGAATGATTTAGGTCTGAGTAGGTTACTGTAAAAGCAAATAATAGAAATTGCTGTCCTGAAAATATCTATGTAATAGGTGTCTGTATGATTACTCTTGCCATTGATGCCAAAAATAGATGCAGTTCCTGATTTCAGTTTAATGTCAATAGTAGTGAGGAAATAGAAGCAGCTCAGTTTTTCATCATGGGGATTAATGGCTGGACTGTATGGACATTGTATCAAAATCCAAAACCAGAATAAAATTATCTCTCTGATAGAAGTACCTGACATACAAACTTTGGTTAAGTCCTTTCATCTTTTCCACAGTCTTGGTCCACTGTTCTCTCAGTTATGGGACGCCCTCTTAGTTTCCTTTGCGTCTTTTCTGGAGAAAACCGACTACCTGTTAACCACTTTGCACCTTTTCTTCAGGGCACCCCATGGGACTGCGGCTTACTCTGCCTCTCTGCCTGTTATTTGTCTGAGGAAGTTGTGACAAAATACTCCCATCCCAACTTTTACATGTGTCTGCACAATAAAAACTGCCCAGTCTTATCACTTCTAGCCTTAGGAAATTGTCCTTCAGCCATTACTACCTCTGCTTTGTGAAAGCAGGAAGCACTGTGATAAGCAGAAGTCTCACTGAGCTTTGCATTTCCCATAAAGTGCACGAGGATTTCAAATGGAGAGCAACAACAAGATCAGGTGAAATACAGTCCCAGTAATAGCCTGCAGCAGGAGAGGCATACAAAGAATATATAATTTATAAGCTTGCATAATCTTTAAACTGTATGATTTTCAAATTACTTTGTGACATACCAGTGGGTTGTCAACTATCCAGCACAGAGCTCATAGCTGAGAGACATTGCAGGCAGTCAAGTGTAATAAGGACACGGGGAGGTCTAGGGACTGTTTTAAATAAGATTTATAAAAGGAGATTAACATTCTTTGAAAATGTGAAGTTATTGTTTTCCCAGACTCACTCCAATAAATGTCATACATACAGCAAAATGGTATGTCATAATCATACAGATCCAAAAATGGGTTAGAGGTATTTAGCCTATCTCGAACATTAACTGTCAGAATGGTAACAAAGAAACTGATATTAGAATATCAGTGTTTAATGAAGGCTGTAATAGACTCAAATATTTGCCTTTCTGACAGAAAATTTGAATTCTGTCTAGCAATGGAAGATGTTTGTGTTTGTTAGTATAAGTGTTACCAAAGACATGTGTGAGCAAAGTATGTGTTGAGCACAGTTTCATCACAGTGTTCCAGAAATCTCAGGAGACACTGAAATTCCTGGATAGCCTGAGGAAATATACCACATGAAATTGTGAAAATGGAGATCAGGTTCAGAAAAGCCTGGGCACAAATACAGGCATTACCTCCAGGCAACTCCTGTGGCACTAGGCAGTTTATCAGACCGGCTGCATTTGCCCTTTCCCTTCTCAGATGTTAGGAGGCTACAAAAATATGGAAATTTCATCTCATAAAGCTTTCCAGTATAAGAGAAATTCCTATAGCTCATGACTGCATTTAAAATTAAAAAGAGTTCTTGTTCATGAATTTAAGATATTATAGGTTTGGATGAATAAGCTTGTTTGAAAGAAGTCCCTATTTTCCATCTTGTAGCTTTTCGTCTGTTTCTGTTGCCTCTATTCACTCTTCAATATGCACGTACCTTTTACTTTCTTCTGCCACCAACTTTCTTCTGTTTCTTCTGAACATAAACACATTTGTGCAAGCTGCTGCAGGACCTTCTAGAACAGGGCAACTCTTTGATCTTTATCCCAGCCCTGACAGTCCTAAAATGACACAGAAACTCCTGGATAGTTTCTGTAGTAAGTGAACTTTTTTCTTACTTTCCAAGCAATAATAAAACCAGACTGTGTCTTGTGCTCGGACTTTCACACATCCCATGAAAGCTGCACCATGTTGAAAAGGGGAATAGTTTTATAGTGTGAGTGAATTTTACCTGGAACAGACAAGATTTATGAACCATTCATTCCGCAGCTAGCTAGATAGAAAATATTGTAAATGCAGTACAGGTATTACACTTAAAAGCGTAGACAGTAGCATGATTCTGTTTACTTACTGAATTGTGAGACTCTAACCTGGCTTAAAACCCTACCTTGCAACCATTGCACAAAATATAACAAGTACAAATTTCTGTTCAGCAGAGGATCATGACTGAGCTACTGTAATATAGATACATAAACATATTTTCTAGTAGAAAAGGAAGGCTAGGAGAAGCTGAGCATGCTACTGTCTAACTGGAGAGGCCATCCCCTTCTTTTGCTTTACCGGCCTTGTGAATAAGCAGAGACTTTTGTTTTTGCAACACTGTTTACGCACTAGCTTTCAAGAACAGGCATTTATTTTAAAAATAACTTATTTCCATCTTGTAACATTAACTTCTTTCCAGCCTACATTTTTAATGCATCTGTGAAGCAACAACATTTCCTTTTTAGAAAGTCATTTGGATGCATTGTCATGTGGTAGATAAGTTAGTAGATGCTGTAGTTTAGAAGTAGAAAATGGGAGGACCAGCTCTCCCAGTCACTGCAACAGGGTTCTGAGTCAGAGATATTATGTCCATTACAATGTCAGCATTATTAACTATTTTAGCCGATTTTACTAGGTTGGAATGCTTTTCCCACTTGGGTCTGAACTCTGTTCAGAAAGTTGTGGTCACAGTTTGTATCTCTGGATGAAAGATAGTATGCTTTTGGTGGCTGAGTTCATCCTACCTCACAAAGTAATGCACGCATTGTTTTGAATGCAGAGCTACAGCTCTTGTTAGCAGGAACTGCATGACAGAGATACACGCACTGTTCTAATGAATAAATAGTGAAAGAGTCTTCATTCCTGTCACGTCTACCACCTGCCCCCAAAAACTGTTTAGCATACATGTTTTTCCTCTCCCAGCTTGTAGGTATAGGAGAAGGAGGCAGAAAGGACAGGGAAAGGTGAATGAACAGCCTAAGCATTCTGGTTGATGCAGGTTGATGTTTTCTGGCCATGCCCTCCTTTAACCAAATGTAGAGTTTGGAGTGTTTTCTAGTGTCATTTCACACCTTTCCTTCTTGTCTCGCTTTAGGACATTACTGAAGTTCCTGGCTCTTTAGAAGTGCTGATCTAACTGACTTTGACAGCAGCATGTGACCCAGATGTTAACTCACGTTCTCAGTTTAGCTCCAGCTCATCAAGCAGATTACTTGTGCAAGATCCTACTCTAAGACCTGTTTAAGTGACAGTGTAATGGACCCCTGTTTTGCTAAAGGTTTTTTGTCAGTAATGCAGAACAGGAAACAGATTCATAGCACTCCTAGCCAAGGTCATTCTAATATAAGTTACAAATAGGAGTGCATTTCTGAGGGCAGCCGGAGACCATCACATAGCATGGCCAGGGATGTGGAGAAGCTGTAGGGTTCAGCTGGAAACCGGTCAGGTAAAGTTAAAGAAGTGGGTGGTTCTGGTTAAATATCAAAATCTCTTCTTCAGAAAAAACATACCAGTTGAAGTAATTTGAAAGGGTTTTAATAGGAGCAATGATGAAGTAGAAAGCTACCAGTTATTCTCCAAACCCAGAAATGGCTTGGAAGGAATTGAGAATAAAAAAAACAGCAGGTTTGGGTTCTTTTAAGAACAGGGTTCTTAACCAAGTTTAACAAGAGAGTTCTTTTTAAGTTCTCTCATAACTCAGATGAGCTTTTTTAATAGCTCCAGAAGCTTTTCTTTTGATTTTCTTGTGAGCACTTACTTCACTGCTTATTTGAAAACAGATGGGAATTTCTTTGCTTGTTGATTCCGTGCATTTTTATCTTTCCCCCAGTGGATGATACGGTCGTTGCTATTCCCTATGGAAGTAGGCATGTTCGTCTCGTGTTGAAAGGACCAGATCATTTGTGTAAGTAGAAAAAGCTAGTGTACACTTGTTTAAGAAAGCCTTACTAACCCACAGCGCTCTGTTTACAGTGTGGGGTCTGGTTTCCCTCTCTCAGATCGCTGATTTTGACAAAGGGGATGAGCTGTGCCCTCAGAAGCTCTCATCAGCCCCCGTTACCTTAGCGGTACATGCTCGTTTCAGACCAGATCTTGGCCAGTGTTGCAGAAGCTTTTGCCTCTCCATAATTTTTCAGACATTTCTTTTTGTTTATCCTTTGGTTGGCTCACCTGATGCTAAGTGCTTTTCTTTAAAATTAATAAAGTAGATCCCACTGAGTGAAATAATATTCAGGACAGTAAAGTAAAAGCTTCCCTACAACTGAGCTTAGCCACCAAGCTGCTCGTAACTGTAACACATTTCTGTTACGATAATCTCTCTTACTCCCATAGACATACAAAAACACACATATGCACTCATAGGAGATCACAATGAGAAAAACAAGAAGAGCATGCACATATCAAGCTATGCTCTTTTGGAGTGATATAGCTCGAGGGAGTTAAGCCCATTGATTGTTGCTAACCCATAACTTACTGGCTACAACACTTCCCTCCTTTGCCTGAAAGGGAGCTATGCATCCTAGCAGCCTGTCTGGGAAAACAGTCTCTGCATTTGAGAATATGCAGAGAGAGTTGTAGCCAAACTCATTTCTTTCTTGAATAGAAGGCTTCTTACATCTTTCCCTCCTACCTTCCGATGCAGTCACTATTCACACGCTGCTCCTTTTTCATCGACAGCGTTGAGC